CTCCGCCTTCGGCGTCGTGCTTTCATCTGTTTCTCGGTGTTTGGAACCCCTGATGAAAAACTCGCACTCGTTTTTGATCTATTACTTGAAAAACTTCCACTCTTCGACATTCTATTGTACCCAGCAAAATACGTTAATCAAACACATATGGGATAATTAATTTAAGAAATCTGGAAAGAAAGAACTTGTCTTGTCGTATCAGACGAAACAATCCTGAATTTGAATTTTTGACATTATGTGTTGATGACAGCAACCGAAAGATTCAACGCTTCAGTGTCTGCATAAATAACTAATTGTTGTGTCTGCCCTCTAAGCTCTTGACTTCAGTTCCTCATTTAATTCTTGGATTTTTGTTTGAAGGAAAACACACTCACTGAATATGGCTTTTGATCAGATTCTTTTCAATTGGTTTGTGAATAAAATAGCCATAGTTACTTTATCGTTATATATAATGTTTGCTAATCTGCCCTCTTTATGACACTACAAGACGACTCAATGCCCCTCGTTCCGCGCCACGAAAGCCCATCGAAACACCCTATCGAACTCGCCAGCTACCCACAAACGTACAGCTGATGATATCAGAAAAACACCGTAATCATACCAATTCAGTTCTATAAGTCTATCGGGAACTACTTATACCGCCTTAAACAGTATGGTCTGCGACTGGTTGCGATCCCAAGGTTCCGCTATATTCTTCTAACTTTTGATAAAAACGGAATTAATGAAATGATGCAATATAATTTGCTTCAGAAGGCACGCATGCGCAAGGTACCACCGCGCAAAAACTTTTTCATTGAATGAAATACAGTTAAATGTTTTATTCATTTTAAACAGCACCAAGCTTCCAACACCACGCCTGAATATTACAGTAAAATAACTAATTTTCTCATAAGTTGCTGGCATGAAATTTTCCTCCGCTTGATTTGTTCCCATCTAGAATTGGAAACAACCATGTTCTTAATCAATGTTTGAGCCTTCTCCTGCTACAAAATTTCTGTTTGCCACATGGACCGATGAATACGTCGACAAGGCTGAAAACCATTTATAATGTCGACTTATCTTAAATTTACTTTAGGTCACATGTAAACAAATATTACTAACGCTATACCCGGGGAAGACGTTAATGTGTTGCTCAAATATTCCTCTGACAAATGCATGACAACCCATGGACGATAGCAATTCAAACCAGAACTTTCCATTGATCTTTCCGTTGCCGATCTCTGATCCAACTCAGACAACAAACGGGGACGTAATTAGATTTTGGTCTCTGTCAGAATCTTATAAGACGAACCAATAATCACCTTTGGTGACTAAATTTTTAAGTTACGAAAAGCAACAACCTTTAACAAAAGAGTCTTTGTAATGGTATATACTCTAACAACACCTTATTTTACTTGGCTTCCAACCAACCGATGATACCACGCCATACTTGGAATAAAAACAGCTGAACTGTATTTCTATCTCACGCACGCGTGTTATGACATCCTCAGCAGCCACAAGGATTTCCAAGACGGTGTTGGAGTAAACAATAGCTGTAGGTGTTTGCCTGCGTGTTGTGTTACAGCCAGTCAGCGGTGTTGTAAAAGAGAAGTCAGCGCTTGTTTCTCTAGCTTTGCGTGTAGTGTTCAGGAGTCGAAGGTGCTCACGGTCAATACCACGGAGAAGGGACTTGGGGATGATGATGGTTATATTGTCCCTCCTGCACTGAACATCAACACCTACTGCTAAAGAATGCAGGGGTAAGTAACATTAAATGGTGAGAAAAAGTATCAATTCTACTTTAATTTTATCGAATAAAGTGAACTTGAAATGTCTTAACACGGAGGATTTTTCCTTCTTTTTGTATTTTTCTTGATAATTGTAGTATCCGCCAATATTTACCGTGACACGTCTTGTTGTCCAATGCTAAGTTCAGTTCCGGGTCTGGACATTTACATTTGTAGCCTCCCGCAGTATTAACACACTTGTGACTGCAGCCGCCATTTGACACCGTGCACTCGTGGATATCTGAAAGAACCATTGTCTGTGTTCTAAAATGAATCAGATTTCAAAATAGATAACAAGAAATAGCATTATGTGGTAGTGGTAGCCATTACGGTAACACGATTCGCCATAAGCTCGGCATTTTACATCGCGAAGTTTCCTTTACCTAAACACGTTTCTGCCACCCTTTGGACTAAACGATAGTATGCTTGTGAGGAAAAAAAGTCACCTCGTTCCCTTGTGAGCAAAAATCCGTGTATGCTAAGGGCAAATTTGTCTCCTCTGAACCCTCCTCTGCGACTTTCAATTGCTAAAGCTGCAATTAACGTACCTAGGATGAACTAAATAAGTAATTCTAAACATGCAACAATCTTAGCGTGTGACTGGCACTAGTGTATGTTTTCTAACTCTCGTAGTTAATACGTTTTTATATCAGAGTCCAAAACAGAAAGAACAAAGCAGGAAAGTCAGCGAGCTTTGCTTTGATTCACTTTTCCACAGCATTTTGGTTTTCTAGCTTGATCACTATCTGAAACGCTTTTACTGCAATAAATTTGCAGTAAAAGCATTTGCAGTTGAATAATTTTCATGTCTGAATGAAATTGTCCGAATCTCAAGACAAAATTAATCTAGACAGAGCGCTAGCGAACAAGCGCTTGAAGGCAAACGTTTGCCAACATATAGGACATTCATTGATAAAGAAAAACATAAAAGTTTTCTGACAAGACGAAAACCGGGTAACACAGGTTGATTGTTTCAAAGCAATTCACGATTAGCGTGAATATCGATTACTGTTTCACCCCTTTTCAGTGAGGTTTTTCGCTGACATATTTTGTCCTTTAGTCTTGATGTTGTGTAGTTCTTAATCCTCGGTAACTTAATAGGTTCTCCATCAATCAAGTTCTCGTTACTAGAAAAACTTTGATAAGATAAACCACATCCGCCAGTGAGAAGAGGACAAGGGAAATTTCATTGTGATTCTTTTATATACTGTAAACACACGCGTTGCTTCTGTGCTCTCTATGTTTCGGGGAGGTTTATGTCTGTAAACCAAGAGACTGTGAAATATTCAGTAGGAGGCTAAAACCAACCGCTCCCCCCATCCCCCCCGTCCAAGCCACACCGGGAGAGAGAGTGCATTAAACTACAATTTTGGAGCCGAGGGACGTGTGACGGGTAGAGAGAAGGCAACTTACGCGGAAAAGTTGGCTAGTGGAGAGGGGAGCCAAGGTTTTCCCACGTGAACAATTCACCTATCTTTTATAGTTGTCAACCCGGTATGCGTCGACACAAGAAAAACATGCGCAAAACCTGGAGGGCTAATCTTTGGCTTCATCAGCAGGCGCAAGCTGCTTTCCGTAAAAGTTTTGTAAAATAGATTAGTCCAGGGAGGGATCAAGGGTAACCCCTTAATAACTACCTAGGACATCTTAATTTCGCTAAAATAAACGGTCTGAGGATCGCTAAGTGAGACCTCCACACTAAATGCGTAGAAAGCGTATGAATCATGATCTCTTTATTCATTGCATGATATGCACTTGAGAATTTTACCGATCTCAATTGAAACAGCACAAAGCTCTCAAAGCCTTGCATGATATTTATTCATAATACTTGTCATGTAATGAGCATGGAGCTCTCGGGTTCATAAGCAAAATAAAACTACAGAACTTATGGCGCGCTATGGAATTGATTTCGAAAAATTGGTGCATGTAATTCAGCATGGTCTACAGGGGTATATAGTTAAAAATATCGAAGGTGAATCAACGGACGCAAACGATCTTAGTCATATTTTGTAGAAGTGGGTCTGTTGCGTAAATAATTGTAAATGCGTTACCAACGTTTTCACAAAACTTAACCCTTCGAGAGGCATTTGAAACCGTCGCACAGATAAACAAAGTGCTAAAAAGAACAGAATTCGATGATGCTTTTGAGTTTAGTTCCGCGTTTAGTTCTTAGGTTTTTGTTTGAAGTAATTAAAAAAAAAACACAGAGGAACGGTTTTTGTTCGGATATGTTTCTTAGTTCTTTTATAAAACGGCCATAGAGGTAGTTTACCGTTATGTTTGCTAATCTGCCCTTTGAATGACACTACAGTAAGTCTCAAGGCCAACGCGATACAGAAACATTCATTCTTCTCGCAGCTTTGTCCCTCGTTCCGTGCCACGAAAGCCCATCGAAACTCCCTAACAAAACCGCCAGCTACCCACAAATGTACAGCTGATGACATCAAACAAAACACTATAATCATACTACTTCAGTTCTATACATCCGTCGGAAGCTGCTAGCTTAAACAGTCTGGTCATCTGCGACGGGTTCCGATCCCGCCGTTCCCATGTCAAATAAAATTCTTCAAAAGTTGTGATAAAAACGAAATTAATAAAATAGTGCATTATAACGCAGCATGCAAGAGCCATAACCACAAAGACACTTTTTCATTGCATGAAATGCAATTTATTGTTTCATTGATCTTATTTAAACAGCAGCAAGCTTCCAACACCACACCTGACTATTACAGTTAACAACTAATTATCACATCAGTCGCTGGCATGAAATTTTCGTCGTCCGGAATTGTTCCCATCTAGAATTGGAAACAGCCACGTACTTAATCAACGTTTGAGCCTTCTCCTGCTACAAAATTTCTGTTTGCCACAAGGACCGATGAACACGTCGACAAGGCTGAAAACCATTTATAATGTCAACTTATCTTAAATTTACTTTAAAATTTTAATCACAGGTAAACAAATATTACTAACTCTATACCCAAGGAAGACGTTAAGGTGTTACTCAAATATCCCTTTGACAAATGCATGACAACCCATGCACGATAGCAATTCAAACCAGAACTTTCCATTGATGTTTCTGTCGCCGATCTCTGATCCAACTCAGACAACAAACGGTGACGTAATTAAATTTTGGTCTCTGTCAGAATCTTACAAGACGAACCAATAATACCTTTAGTGTCTAAATTTTTAAGTTACGAAAAGCAACAACCTTTAACAAAAGAAAGAGTCTTTGTAATGGTATATACTCTAACAACACCTTATTGGTTCCTTTCAAATTG